TCGATAATTGCCATAAGTTCCTTATCATGGATCTGGTAATTCAGTTCAGGTCCTTGGAACTTCCTTGAAAAGAATCCACAGGGGTGTAGGACTCCGTTCTCGTCCCTTTGGCCTAGCTGCGCTCCTTCAGCTTCGTTCGAAGCATCCGTTTCGAGCTCGAAGGGCTTCTCAGGGTTCGGAATCTGGATGACGGGTTCCGATGTGACCTTGTCCTTGACTTCTTGGAACGCTTTCTGTTGTTTGTCTGTCCATTCCCAAGGTGCATTTTTCTTAGTGAGTTCGGTAAGAGGCAATATCGTTTTGGAGTAGTCTTTGAGGAATTTTCGGTAGAAGTTGACAAATCCTAAGAAGGATAGTATGTCCTTCGGGTTTTCTGGTGTAGGCCATTCTTGCACAGCCTTGATTTTGTTAGGGGACATCTTGATTACGCCTGGCGTGATTGTGAACCCTAAAAATTCTACTTCCTGTTTGTGAAACAGACTCTTCTCTGGTTCCACAAGTAGCTTCGCTTGTTCGAGTGCTTTGAGAATCTCGTGGACATGCTTCTTGTGTTCTTCCAACGTTTTGGAGAATATAAGGATGTCGTCGAGGTACACAACAACAGACTTGTCCAGATATTCCCGTAGTACTTGGTTGATCATAGTTTGGAATGTAGCCGGTGCGTTGGTGAGTCCAAATGGCATGACTAACGTTTTAAACTGTCCTCTTCTCGTTCGGAAGGCTGTTTTCCACTCATCTCCTTCTGCAATTCGGATAAGGTTGTAGGCTCCTTTAAGGTCCAAGGCTGTGAACCATTGGGCCTCGTAGAGTAGGTCTCTTAGTTCCGATATGAGGGGCAGTGGGTAACAGTCTTTGATCGTAATATCGTTGAGTCGTCGATAATCGACACAAAGTCGTTTCTTCCCGTTCTTCTTTGGTACGAATAGTACGGGGTATCCTGCGGGTGATTTCGAAGGTCTGATGAATCCTTTCGCAAGATTTTCGTCAAGCCATTCGTCTAAGGCTTTCATTTCTTCTTGGTTGAGTGGGTATATTTTGTTAAAGGTGGGTTCGTGTCCTTCCTTAATTTCGATCTTGTGATCCCACTTGCTGTGTTCCGGTAATCCGGTCTCGAGTTCTGGTGCAAAGAGTTTGCTGTAGACCCTGTATTCAACAGGTATCTTTGACATTGGATCTTCCGTGACTTTGTCAATCGTCGTGGCTGCTAGCGTCCTAGTGCCAATGTCTTTTATCCTTAGCATCAGGCGTGGTCTTGCTCTGGTTGCTGCTAGTAATCCGCATGAGGCCTTCGTCGAGTGCTTCTCAGAGGCTGGATTGAATTTTATTCGGCCGGTAACCCAATCGATTTGTGGGTTATGTCTTCGTAGCCATGGAATTCCGAGGATAACGTCGTGGTTTCCTATCTCCGTGATGTCGAGGCTGATAAGCTCCTGATGGCCATGGTAGAGCAAAGGGAGTTGCGCTGTCTCCTGATCAATGCTGCCTCCGCCATACTCGACTTCTTTCCCTTCCACATTCCTTAGTCGGTAAGGGTTTTGCTTCTGATTCCATGGTATTTCTCGCTGTTGCACTATTCGGGGTGCGATAAAGTTTCCTTGGGCTCCTGAGTCTATCAGGACCTGTGTGGTGTATCCGCCCAGGTTTACTGTGATCTTCATTTGTGCGTCGTCGTCGAATGTAGCACATAGGGACTTGCTGGGGGAGCTCGCCATGTGTCCCGGACAAGGCGGCTCTCCTAGTTTTTTGAGTAGAGGGCCTTCTCGCCCTTCTTTCGGTCTCTGCCGAGGTTACTTTCTCTGATTCCTAGACGAGGTGGGCTGGGCGTCTCGCCGTCCTGTCCTTGCTTGTCTAGTTCTTGTTGTCGGAATCTCCAACTTTCGCTTTTTGGAATGTAGTGGAGTTTGCATAGGTCTTCCCTGCAATTCCACCAGACTCCCGTGAAGTGGTTCACACACTTCTGAGGGTATTCGACGCTGGGTCGTAGGAATGCTATTCCATTGTTGTTGGTTTTCCATTCTCCGGGTTCTCCCCGTACTTCCCAATATGAGAGTTCTTGTTCCTCATGGGCTCTGCGGATTCGCAGTTCTTCTTTTCTTTTGGGGTATAGTTCGTTTTCTGCTTTCTTTGAGAGATGGTAGGCGCAGTGATCGAAGATGCAGTAGATCCATGCTATCTCCTTGTGTTCTCTGTGCTGTGTCGTAATCCTGGGATCGTCTTCCAAGAATATTTCTTCATCCCGGGTTTGTGTGATTGTTGTAGGGATTTTGTTATGATATTCTTCTGCATGGAAGGCGATCTGTTGGCAGTCGTCTTGGGGGTCGATGTATTTGTATTCTAGTACTTCCTTAATTTTTTCCATTCTGTCGAGATGGTGTTCTTCTTCTGCGTCTTCCGGGTCGGTATCGTCTATCGACGTTCCTTGTGGACGTACTTCCGCCGAGGGTGGTCCGTCTACGACGTCTTCAGCCCATTCCGAGATGGGTTGAGGAGTAGCGCGGGTTCTTTGTGGCAATTCAAAGGTCGAGTCGCTGGCTACCGTGGTATATGGTGAGCTCCATCGTTGGCTTAGGTTGTCCTTTGCTTGGTATACTCGGGTCTGGGTGCTGGCGTCCCTGAATTGTTGTTGTCTCAGCATTTCATCCAATTGCTCGGTGGCTTTGCGGGCGTATTTGCTGGCTACCGCGAGGGTTCGTTCCGTCTTTCCATCGTTTTGGGGTCGGTAGACAAATTGGGTTGCTTTGTACTTGAGTTGATACTGTCCTCGGGTGTTTCCGCGTAGTGCGATGCGGCGGTCTCGGGTTTTCCGCATGTGTTGGAGGGTGTCTCCAACTTCGCTGTTGTTTCGAATTTGCATCGTGTAGTTGATGGCGTCTTGTATCCGTTTGATGGCTGTCTCGTTTTCTTCTTCGAGTTTCCTGGCTTCTTCTTCTGAGAGACTTTCCGGGGTGTTTACTTCATTCGTCTGTCGATAGTTGGCGAGGCGTGGGATGTCCCATAAGAGTCCCGGTTGGTACACAATGCTACCATCTTGGAAGGCGTTGTTGAGTTCCGCGGCCTTCTTCGCTTGTTCCCAGTCGTCGAGTGGCTCTTGTCGCTGCTTAGTGTAATCCGGTCCACCGGTGTATCGGTCTATCACAGCAATGGCCTTGGGTATGTTGGTGGTGTCGTATCCCGATCGTCCTGCTGGGTTTTGAGGGTACCATCCACTATTCTCTTTTGCATGCCTGTGCGTAGTGCAATCATTGTCATAGCAGGCTGTCCATCCCTTTTCTTCGTGGCTAGGGATTTTGGTTGCAGCGTTGGCTTGCTTAGGGGTTGCCGTAAGTTTCTTAGGCTGTATGCAGTGTCTGGCCATGTGTCCTGGCTTGTCGCAGTTGTAGCATTTGAATTCTCTGCGTCTGGGTTTGTCTTTTTGCGCGACGCTCAGGTCTATGGGTCTACTGTGTTGTCCATGTGCGGTGCTCTGCTGATTGTTGTTCCTGTTGTTCTGGTTTTTGTTGTTGAACTTGTGTTGAGGTTGCTATTGGTATTTCTTTCCTGAGTTGGCTGTTTGACGTTTTTCTCCTTTTTCCTTGCGTCGTTCAAACAGTCGGTTGTTAATCTTAATGGCGTATTCGACATAATCAAGGAAGCTAGGTGGCGTGTCCACTTTGGCCATTTCGTCCTTGACGTCGTCCTTGAGACCCTGGTAGAAAGCGAAGACTTTGCTTTCGTCGGTCATGTCGAGTCTGGCTGCGAGTCGTCGAAATTCTGCAGCGTACATTGTAGCTGATTTGTTTTGTCGTAGGCTCGCTAGTTCTCTTTCTGCTTGTCTTTTCTCATCGGGGTCTAAGAAGAGAGATTGAAGGGCTTTAACATATCCACTGAAGCTGAAAAAGATGTCCTTCACTTCTTGACTGTATCTCTCGATAGGGGTGTCCAGCTATTCTTGTTGGAGGGGTTCGAACTAAGCGAGGGCCTTCCCTCTCAAGAAGGTGGCGGCGTGGACGACACGTTCGGTATCGTTCTGGAACGTGTTGATGTGGAAGGCTTGGTAGGTCCGTATCTGTACTAAGTATCCTTTGAGCTGTCTAGGGGTTCCGTCGAAGGTGGTAGGGGTGTTGAGCTTAAGGCGTTCTCTTCCTTCGACAGGAGCTGATATGACGTTCGCGGCAGCTCGAAGGGTTGTGACTTCCTTCTCTAGTTCTTTGGTGCGGCGGGCTTGTTCCTGTAGCTCCTTGAGGGCTTTGACGTTCTGGTTGAACAGGTTTTTCATTTCCCTGAGCTCGTTGTTGTTCCGCTCAAGTTGCCGCTTAAGTTCTTCATTGTCGTCATCGCTATCGGATTCCTCCTTCATTTCCTGGTCTTGAATCTCTTGGGCCAGATTCTGGGGAATACGTCTCTCGGACGTGGACGAGGTTCCAGGAGTAGGGTTTTCGGTAGTTCCGTGCGAAGACATCTTGTCTTATACTGTTCGTTAGTCTCAAAGGGCAACTTACTGAACAGGAGCAATCAAAGTGTTACGGCCAGCTATCTGACAGTAGGGTTCTGCTAACAGAAGGTGTAGTAAGAGACTAACACTGGTTCGTAGAGGTCGTTCTGGTAGATCGTAGGGTTAGGGTAAGGTGATCAGTCTTACACTATGGTAACGAGGTTCTTAGTATTCACAATACTGAGAGGTAAGCTGAAAGTCATTCGAGGATGAATCACAAGTTGATTGCTGAAGAACTATCTAGAGGGCTTGAGCAGATGCTCAAGTCCTGGTCTATATACAAGTCCCGTTTCCCAATGTCTTGGAGAGTCTATAGAGTCGCTCGTCGACTCTATCGACTCTCTTCTGATTGGTCCTTTACAGGAGTCTACAGAGTCGCTCGTCGACTCTGTCGACTCTGTCCTGATTGGTCGATTGTCACGTGACTTGTAACGTAGTTCTTCCTTGCCGAGAGGTTTACCCTTGTTCCCGTGATCCTACGTACATATGTCCTGTCGTAGCCGCCCGACCCAGTGGGTCTGTTAAGTGCATCTGACGGGTCGTAACAGCCTGGCTGTAAAGGGGCCTTCTTTGTACGGTCCTGTGATAGATACCAATGACTACCAGCAGTTAAGATAGTTTCTGTACCACGGTCTGAACGAATAGTTTGTGGCATAATACCCCGTGATAGAAGTGTAGATAGATATTGGGCTAATACAGAACGGGCCGTATGTGCAGAAAACCCAACGTAAAACCACACAATATAACGGGAGTATGCATCGATGCTAGCATATATCTCAAACCCAAACGGAAGTAGTTTATCATATGCATCGAGTGACCATATAAAGTTTGGACCTGGCGTAGTCCAACCTTTCCGCCGGTATCGGATCTCTTTCAGTCGGTTTGCAACTTCCTCGGGAAAAACTGTACGATATGCTTCATATAAGACCGAGCGGCTAATAATATGGCCACGTTGGCGCATATATGTAAAGAGGAATTCTCGGCCAAAGTCTCGTGTAACGCGTGCTTCATCACTTGTTGTAGAGGCAAGGAAGTTTACAGCTTGGTGAAATGCTGCTTGAAGCTGCTCGGGGGTTTGACGGCGCCATAGTTTGTGGCATTTTCGAATATCTTCTAAGCCACGTTGTGAGACTGTGAAGCCTTCCGTCCGTAAGCATAAAAGAATATCTAAATCGGATAGCCTATGATCAAAGAAGAGCTGGAAGATACGTTGTAGTAAGGCGCTGGAAAATTCTGTACGGACTTCGCGGCGGAGGTTTAAGCTTTGTAGGAAACGTTTAAATGTTGACGGAGAGACCTGAATTTGGAATGATTCGGAAAGATATGTAATTATATTAGAATAAGTCCAGCCATTCTGGAACTTTTCAGTAATAATAGATTGAAAAGGGGTAAGGTCGATACGTGGCCGGCCAGCCATGGTGAGGTGCTGCAATAGTCCATACGGAGATTCACGAGGGAGAACGGGAAAATACAGATGTTGGCAAAGAAATACGAATTGGGTATCTTAAAAAAAACCTAAAAACGCAAGGGTACGGACAGTCCCACGCTTCTGTACAGGGGTGCCAAACCCTGTACAGAAGTGCCCGACCCGCAAACCAAAGTTACCAACCGTAAACGCCTGTATCCATCCTCCCATTCCTGTAAGTATACCTATCGTTTCTGTACGCCGGATTCCCGATTCCATACGCCTTGGTAGGCATCTGTAGCATTGTGTAAATGCATGTTCACGTCATCTCCAGTTGTTGTACGGTCGTGTAGGATTTTGTAAGGTCCTGCTTAGTCGTGACAAAGCTCGATCTCGATGTTTTCGTTCTCATCTGTACATAACTGTAGTTAGCAAAGATGTACAGACGGCACCAGACATGTACGATAACGTACCGTACTTAACATCAGCGAGCTTGTCTGCGACAGAAACTAACGCATTTCTAATGAGTCGTATGTGCTTGGGCTTAACGCCACGGACCGCGTTGAGAAAGTCATACTCCGCACGGGAGACGCACAACTTCTTACTGCTCGGGGCGGAAGTGTAAATCTCTGCGGCAGGTCGCTTCGAGGGGGACGGGGCTGTATAGAATAGATCAGATTCATGTTTAGTTGTGTACAGGTTGGGACGAAACTTACCGAAGCTGCAGTTGGAGGCGCCGGAATTGTATGTACAGTTGGCGCAGCTAGCATAGCCGTCCAGAACAACACAGGTGTTGTACGGACCATTGCCCTTGATGCAGTTCTTGCACTGGTCCTTACCCTCGCGCGCATTTCCGTACACGTGCATAAGGAAAGAGTTGGCATTCTGCGCACGCTTGTACTCAAGCGCTTTTTTCTGACGTCTTCCGTTCTTGACCGCAGAGCGAACATCGATCAAGTTACGGGCCTATACAATATGTAAGCAAAAGAGTAAGGTACGTACGGGGGTGTAAGGAGACTATACCTCCGCTTCCTCATTGTCCAGAATGTTATTAATGAGAGTGTTGCTGGCATGAGGAATACCATCTGTAACAAGTTAGTACAATATTGTAGGGGAATTACAGAAGTGTACATACGGGTGAGGTAGTAGCCGGTTCCGAGAGCATGAGTGTACATAGAGGGTAGCTCGGCGGGCAACTCCGTAGGAATCTTTATGTCTCCGATCTTATCCGGCACGAGCTCGGCAGCCAGCTCCATGTCCTGAGCCATGATGTACGGTAGTGTAAAGTGATGTCGAGTGTCGTTCGGGATTGTAAGGATGTTGTAGGATGTTGTAGGATGTTGTAGGATGTTGTGAAGCTTTGCTGGAAAACTGTACGTAATGTGACGGGGGCGACGCCTGGCGCCCGGGGATGTGCGAATCTGTACAAAAGCTAACAGTTAGCAAATGATTGTACAGAAATGTACAAAAGCTCAAAAAATCGGAAAAAAAAATCAAAAATAGAGAAGACAAAAGAAAACGGAAGTGTAACAAAGGATAAAAACTGAATCTCTGTAAAACAGTGTAGAGAGCGCTGTAAATTTCTGTACAGTAGGGGTCACATACCTAAACTCTGCTTGGCGTGGGGAAAAGGAAGAAGTTCTGGGCCCCACTGAATTCCTATTTATTTGTCGATTTGGGCGCACAGACCATGCACCTAATCAACCGGAACCGGAAGATCTAACCTCCGACGGATTATTGTAGAGCCTCGTAGGGGGCTGTGGTTCTATGTAGTAAACCCTTATTTCCTAAAAGGGCAAATACCCACCTAGAAATGTACAAAAACAAAAATCGTTTTACGCGAGATTACATATGTTTACGCTTATGGGGTGTTCCTATCACTACCTTGAATTTTGACCCAGTGCGCCCTGCGGACTGCCGTAACACTCCTAAATATATTACCAAGAGAACTAATCTCGATCCTATCAGCTGATTCTCAAGCAACGCTCATGCTTACTCCAAGGGCTTGAACTAGGCATCGTATGTTGTCATGTGTTTAAAACTTAAAGCACTTAAATTACTCCTTTAGTCAAATAAGGGAATTCTTGGGTAGAAGTAGTGGGTCGTACCAGTAGCTGACTCTGTTTAACACTGAATTTACTGATTTTAGGAAAGTCAAGTTGATTTACCCAAGAATAGCCAACAAACTCAAAACTGATTGGTAACAGTCGACAAACCTTATTTCCGTGAGGGAAATATGTCTTGTAAATAAGTATGATGTGATGTCTGACGAATATATATAGGTCAATTTTAGACCTTAAATGCCACTGATCCGCTGTCTTTCATCTAAATTTTGTTCATGTCATCCCATTCATCCATAAACCGCAACAACTCTAAGTAATCGGTACCCTGCTATCACAATGAAAACTACTCAGATCTTCGTCGCAGCTGTGCTGACCTTTGCGACAGCTTCATTTGTAAGCCGCCTGACAGTCCAGTCGATAAGTTCAAGGATAATATTGACCTTAATGTTACCCTAATGTAGGCTGGTAGATGCGGCGAGCGCGGCGGATGCATTGATCAAGGTCCCGGAGGACAGACGATTTTAGACTGCACTTCCGGTAGCTGCGACGGCAAGTCCGGACAAGCCTGTAGCATTGTTGGCACTACAGCAGTAAACTGTCCTCGGTAGTTGCACTGCGGAACGGCGGGCAAGTCATCTGGAACATAGACTTTCACCTAAGAAAGCATGGATGAAATCACAGTTGTTTTTAAAAATGGAAGCAATATAGCATATAGAAGCAATTTATCTACCGCTAAGACAAAATAGCCTCCTAATAAATTGCTTGGCTCTGACTCCCTGGCTCCAGCCATGAGGGTGCAACATGTCTTTACTTTTATTTCGTCTTCGTCCTACGTGTTACCGTATCGTCTGCCAAATCAGGGCTCTCGATATCGACTCTATTAGTTTAACACAACGGGGCCGACCTGAAGGCAGCTCCAAGGGGCCAGGCATTTCATTATACAGAGACGGATTAACCTGAATGGCTACAAAACGGCACACCTATCTTAATTTCTCCTGTCTATCCCTACCTAAACGGCTACCAACACCAAAGCAGTTCCTGATTCGACCTTTCATCATGTTTGCAATAGCCGAATGGACTTGAAAAGCTAAGATACATATACTTGAAAACCTGTATCATCGTCCTTCTTGTTTCTTTTTACCCTGTTCTTCATCTCTTCCCCTTTAGTTGCATCCACCTAATCAGGGGGCCCCTTTATATGCCATGATACGCGACATACCATGCTGCTTCTTTTCAATGCTTGCCGACAATTGCACCGTGATGCCTTCCAGATGTCCTGATACCTCACTTAGCCTCTCTTTTATCTTGCTCATCTCGCCGGACGACTGGCCGTCGAATTCATCCTCTTGTGACAGCAATGATTTGTGACTCTCGACCAAAACGCTGACTTCCTGCAGAACATCTAGCGCAGCGCTTATGTCCTACAAAGCTGCCCGTATCTTCTTAAGCTCTGCTTGATAAAAGTCCTGTAGTTCGTGGGCTGTGCGGTTCTGCCAGGCTGCAAACGAGTTTGAAATTTCCTCAAACGACTCAAATGCGCTCTGGGTCTGGGTAGCCAAATCAATGGATTCAGCACGGTCGACCACAGGTTCTTTGCCTGGGCTAGGGACAAGACAGTCCCAGTCCTTGGTTGAGACTCCCAGGAAAGCCGCTAAAATGAAACGCCAAAGACTGAAGTTGAGATCTGGACGAAAGGGCCACTTGGTGAGGATGTGCATGCACGTGGCAAACAAAAACACACCACAGTCGGCGCCATCACTCTGCACTCCAGGGTTGAACCCTGGGTCAGGCACCCGCATGTGTGAGGGCGTCTTTGAGAGGTAAAGCCCGATAAACTTGGCTGTCGTCTCCTTAATGACAGTAGCTGACTGTGCGGTCGGGTTTGGATCGTATAACTGGATACGCTTGGCAGCATAGCGGTCTTCGCTTTTGAGGATAATAACGAGAGCGCAATGGCCTTCCTCGACATGCAGGGCTAGGACGACCAGGCTAGTCCTCATCACTCTCTGCGCGGTCTGCACCCAGGACTCTGAATTATTGGCGTCTATGTTCTGCAGTTCGATACTGCTGACGAAGACTGCTCCCACGCTGCTCAAGATAAAACCTAGAGCCTTGTCAAGCCATTCTCCTCTAATGGATGATCCAGGTTGCAGAAGCTTTTCCGGATCATGCGGCGGCTGTTCGGTGCAACGTCTCTTTCTGGCTGGTGATTCGCAAGACATGACGAAACGTGTAGACGTGGATAAAGAGGTCTTGCGCTTCCCGCGGCGTTGTATTGTCACACTCTCTCCAAGTGGTGGAAACTCGAAGTCGGTGTTGTCGTTGTAACCTATGCCTGGAGGCTGTGGCTCGTCGTCGTCTTCTTGATCCTCGAAACCGTATGGGTTGAACCAGTCATTCCCTTCGTAGGGCTGCTCTTGATCGATTTCAGTGCTCCAGTCTGGCTGAGGGTTTTCTAAGAGATTGGAAGAATCGAATAATGCTGGGCTTGATGTAGACGACTCAGCTATCAATTGCTGGCGACGGGGTGCTTCAGGTGATGATATGTAGCCTTCCTCCGCCTCCGGCGAGAGACTTTCCGTGCTTTCAACTGTTTGAGCTTCGAATTCTTGGTTTCGTTCTTCGTGTGGGGTCTCGGGTGGTTGTATGTCACTTTCTTCCGTTTCTGGACTTCCTGTATTTCCAACCGTCTGAGTCTCCAGCCTTTGGCCTTGTTCTCCACTGTTGGAATCTTGTTCGGCTTCCTGGCTCAGCTCTTCTCCCAGATCCTCAGGCGGATGAGGAATCGACACTTCTTCCGAGTCTTGAGGCTGATGAGGCTCCTGCTGTTGTCCCAAGTCGCAAGTGTAACTATCGACGTCTTTCTCTGGAATACTAGCCTCACTGGCCTCGCTGGCCTCTCGTGTCTTTCTAGGGCGACCTCGGCGTCGGACACTGGGAGTTCCAATTGGTGGCTGGGTTTGAGCGATGGCCCTGGTCACGTCAGATAGTGTGATGCCAATCCTCTTGGTGTTTACGCCGGACTTTTTGGCTGTGCGTGTTTCGCTGCGGCGCTGGGCGGCGCACTGGTGAAGAAGGTTAATGGAGTCGTCCCACCTAGGGCACGCAAGAGCGAGCGCACGAAGGGAGCGGAAGAATTCCTCGCCCTGTTGGCCGTAATCGTATGCGATGAAGAACAAGAGGCACGTTGGAGTGACGCCCCAGTCTTTGGCGCTGTTTCGTAGATAAGCCTGGTTTCTCGATGACTTGACGTGAAATGGGCTTCCGTGGTCGGAAAAAAGAGCAGGAAGAATTCCTTGGACGACGTGGTGCGGCAGAAGCCGTCTAATTTCGGTCGGGTCTTTGTTGTATGGTGGTTGCAAAGCTGTGTTCTCGCAGTCTCTTAATCGAGGGTAGATGGAGTTGAGGTGGTGGATCGATGCTTCAAGTGAGACGCAGAGAGTGTCGACGAGCGCCTTCAGCTGTGAGGTAATGCCGTCGTGATGGTTTTCCGAACTAGGAGAAGACATTTATAAACCGATAACCCTCCGCCATGACAGTTGATTGTGTGTGAGATCAGCCGTTGTGGTGGTCTTGGTTAAGAGAGAAAGAAAGATGATGGCGTTGCTTGGGGTGTGTGTTGGGGTGAGACTCGTTAATTGCGGAAGGAACTCACCTCGTATTCTTGCCGAAGTGTCAAGTTCTTAATTACGAGCTGCTCTTTCCATACGAGGAGGGTCTTGGAGCAGCCAATGTCATGAGTTAATCTAGCAGCTCCACAGCAGGCAGCAATGTTTAAGAAAAGAGCCACTCCAACTCTACTCATTGAGTCTCTCTAGATATGGTTTTTAACCATTTTCAAAGAAGAAGCGGTTGCAGCCTGCTAGACAACAACCCCTGGGGCAAACATCAATCATCATGTGTTATTTGAGAACTAGACAGGCGGGGCATAAACACGCCAATGTCATGCGTGCGTGCGAAATGAATTGTTTATGGATCTCGTATTATGGATTGAGAATGTTTTGTTCCCGGGAGTTCTTATGGTGGCTAATGTAGTGGCTGTCACGTTCGACAGTTGGACACGCCGGAGTGTAAGGAGCCTAGTCGTATTCTGCAGGGCCGTTTTTACGATGCGGGTCCCTGAAGCCCCACCCCCACACTGAGAATCACACTGGACAGTGCCTGACGTCATTGCGCATTTGGAGCTTTGGGTGCGTTAAGGAGTCACGCAAAAAATGTCCTCCACTAGCAAAGGCCGAAGATAGACCTCTGACCCTTGCTGAACTCACATATCGGGCTTTACTGACTGCCGAAAAAAGGTAACAATGAACAATGGTTATACAACACACACACCTTTGAAACTTGGAACAATGTTCATGCGCTGCTTTGTAGGGGTTCCCGCCGTCGCAACGCTGAACTCAACTTGGAGAAGCTACGCCCTGCTCAAACTCATCTGCGAACCACTGTTCGCAATGCACTGACCTTCGTAATTCATCTTCAGTTGATTCATAAACCCAAGTGCTACGGTAGATCCCGGCATTTGGCGCCCCGTCTCACTTCAATTGACAGCTCGAGATAGCTTACAAGTAGCTATCACAGCTCTCCCATAGCGTCCTGGCCGCCCTTCAAGCACATCAGCGTCAGAGACGCAATGCCGCTGGGCACATGCCCGATTTCGCATAGCCGCTTCGGGAGACGAGGCCTAGGTGTACGCTTCACCGAATTGGCGAGCTTCCTTAAAAATCCATCCCTCCTGCCAGGCACTACCCACAACCGAGGCCGACCTGCCGTCGTTCAGCGAGCATTGGTGCTCCAAAGGGCATCGTGGTAGCGCGCAGCCAGTAGAAGCTTGCTGACAATGGTGCTGAACGGAACTATGACCGGCTCGGGAGTCGCAGTATCAATGGGAGTCGCAACAACGACAGGGTTCGTAGTATCACTAGGAGTGGAGGTATCAATAGGGTTTTCGATTTGTCCGTGGTCGAGGGTGCTGCAAAGCAAGCAAGAGATTAGTATTCGTGACGCAAGGCGCAAGAGGATCAGGGCTCAGGATATACCCATCATCAACATACTCCTCGCCAAAAAAGTACGAGGGCTCCAAGACGACGTTGTCGTCAGGATCGTCAAGAGGAGTCCAGTCCTTGGCGCAAACAACCACTCCAGCCCGCATCACCTAGACGCTGACATAGCATTGATTGAGATTGTGTAATATGTCGCTGGCCGGCTGGATGGGGTAGTGCAGCTTAATAGCGATAACGGCGCTGGTGTACGTCTCGTTGAGCAAGTAGTGGTAGCGGTCGACAAGGCCTTCAAGGTCGGCAGGATGCGAGAGTGCAACCTCGAGTGCGACGCAGGGGAACTGGATCTGAGCAGGAGCATCAGCCGTCGAGGTCGGCCCCAATTCAAAGACGCGCCAGCTTGCATCGGGGTGCAACTGGCCGTTCTTGTCGCTAAGCGGGATTGAGCTGGTACCCAGCTTCAGCAGTTGATCGGCTCGGAGGTGGAGCGCGCTGCAGGCTAGGGTATGCACAAGGTTGCTGAGAGAGACGGCGAAGTGAGTGTTGACGTTGAGCTCGTCCATCTTGAAGCGGGCAGTGCCGGCTGAGAGGTTATACTCGAGTTGAAGCTTGTGGAGGGGGACACAACAGCTGCCCTTCTCGTCGTGGTCACCGAGGCGAGTAACAAAGCGGCGCAGGAGCGAAGGAGGGAGAGAGAACTGATTCGAGTTCGCATGGCCGCCGGGAAGAAGCGGGTGGCCTTTGGCTAGGCTGTGAGCGAGTTGACAGAGTCGTTCAAGAAGAGCTTCCTGTTCTTCGACGTTGAGGGCGTCAGATTCTCTGCTGCCGAGGGCAACGGCAAGGGCGGACTGGATAGAAAATGTGGTTGTTAGTGACGGGTTCTCTGTGTAAGATGAAATACCGGAAGATGAAGAGAAAACCCTGCTTCTGGAGTTTTCGTTTCACTTATTCCACCCAGAAAGAGGCCAGAATAGAGCAGGGGAAAAACTCAGACGATAGATATCAGTTGGAGAGCATTGGAGAGCATCGAAGCTAACGATACTCCCCATTATCGTGGCGAACGTGACTTACCTGGTCGTGCGACATTCTTGTGTCAGTGGTTGGTTTATGAAGGCTTCTGTTCAGCGCGTGATTGTATGGCGAAGATATTCGTGCCAGAGCTGAGGCATTGCCTTTGGTGATGAGAACAAGACCGTGATGTTTTTGTGAAGTTGTTGGTGTTCTGTTGGGTTGTATTACTGGAAGGAGCAACAAAGAGAGAGCTCAAGTGGGTCATAACGGCTGCCTGCTCTGTCACGTGCCTGCAGGACCTCATGTTTGTTCTTTCCCATCCGTTTGAGTCCCGGCTGGAGCGCCCTGTTTCGTCTTCATCTTGCTCGTCCTAAGATAAGATACCAACGCTCAGCTATTCAAGCTCTGATACCTTAGCCGCAGCTCAGGCTGATGAAAGTGCAGGATGTGATAGCCCTTACATTTTCTTCGAATCTAGCCTGAGCTTAAGGGAAGCTGAGCTTCGATTCAGTGTCTTCCTTGGTTTCCTTATGAGATGGTAGCCGTTTCGGGTATCATTCACAGTCCTAACCATGATGATACCCGGAAATTAGCCATTCCTACCGAAAACGTTGATGCTAGACCTGAAAGCTGGCAGCACACATAGCGGAAGGCGTAGCTCTTGCAACCTATTCTGGTAAAGATGAGTCACAGACTATTAATAGTGAAAGAAATATCTAAAACCATGCCGGTGATCTGAAGGCAAGATTTGCAAGTTCCTGAGATCTAGAAACCGCGAGACTCAACTAAAATATCACCCTCAACCACGATCAATCGCAGGCGTTAAAGCGGAGCCCGCAATGGAATATCAGATACAGATGTCCGTACTCAAAGGGATAAGACAATGTGAGTTTATCCCTGCCATGGATAGCGGGCGAGATAGTTCAACTCGCAGGTATCAACAGATTTCTTTGTCGCTTCGAGTCTTAATGTAATGTCCAGGGCGTTTTGCTGTTTCGCAGGTGGTGATGGAGGTTGCAGTTGGCTTGCAAATAAGTCATAATAGGGGGGACTGTACGCCCTAGGCTTTCAGATGCCTGCTCGTAATTTTCTCACTGAAAATTACGACACAGGTAGCTCAAAGCGCCGCACAATGACACCTTTTGAGCTTACATAATGCTGTGACCAACACCTCTGGCTTCGCCTGCCTGCCACTACCTGCCTCACCTCCTATCCTTCCACTGCAGGCCTTGTTAGTTCAACCGCTACTTTAACTCGCCGCCCTGACTATTTTTCATTTTTATATTAATTGTCATCCACCTGGTCGGGAGGATATGGTATCCGTCTCTGATAGACATCCTCAACCAGGCCCGTTCTAACACCCCCCAACACTCACCACTCTACATCGACGCCGGCTTCAAGCAGAAGGATTCTAAGACAACCTTTGACTTCATTAAGGGTTGGTCCATGTCTATTTCGCTGTAATTCTTCTCCCAGAAAACTCTATCCGCACTAAATCTTCTTGCTTGCTCTTCAAGGTCTTGGCGATCTGGCTAACTCTAAAGACCAGCATTGTCAAGCTATCTCAAGGCACAATTTGAGGGTTTCGACGAAGCATGAGAAGAGCCTGTCAGAATCCTCACCACCTAGAACGACGTAGTCAGCTTTCGAAGCAACGTCCGCAATTTAAAACCATCGGGCAAGATCGCCGACGCCGCTGTTCCCGGTAACAGCCTGCCGATGCCAAAAAACAAGCAAGTATTACTATAAAATCACCAAGACAGCCCAAAAGACGCCGCAGAATGTGACCCGCGGTAAAAGGTTTGCAATGAGCGGGAAAGAATCCAGCCCCCGGCCAGCGTGAAGAGTCAGACGTCTTCCTTCATCATTGAGAAACCTTTGAAACAGCAACAAGAGCCTCTGCTGATGTTGTCGTAACGTTTTTCCCATTCCCACCTATCAAGTTCCGAACATCAACTCGTTTACAACAATCGAAAAGGATCATTTAAACAAGATCCAGAATCCTTTCCAACCACACAGGCAGAGGCTTCCCTGATGTTTCAGCTGGAGCTGATTCTTATCGGATCACGCTCAATGGAAAGTGGGAAACTACCCATGACACTTCGGCACCAGCCCCCGTATTTGCTTCGATCATAGCGCTGATCAACAGCGAGCGCATACATGCAGGTAAAAGATCTGTTGGGGTTGTGAACCCGCTTCTGTATGGAAATCCGGATGTGCTCAACGATATCGTAACGGGAGCGAATGAAGGACGTGGAGTTGAGACGTTTCTAACTGTTCGTGGTTGGCATGCAGTGACGGGTGCGTAGTCCGATTTATGAGCGAATGCGACGTCTATTTATGAGCTTAACATGAGGTTGCTTCCTAATCCATAATACTCAAAAATAAACAGCAGATGGCTTGATATTCTCACTAAATAATGCAATTTTTGAGGAAAGCACAAAAGTCGGATTCTCAGATTGAAAATCGCCCGAGACCCCGAGGCTCTTAGAAAAGCTGGCCGGATATCGGCCATAATGCTGCAGCAGAATGGCCAGCGAGGACTTAAGATATTGGGGAGGCGCTAAGGATTGCGGTTTGATGAGCCAACCCCTTCTATGTAGCTAGCATATCACATGGAGCGAAATTGCGGGTAGAACGTTAATACTTGACATAAGACAACCAACGATGGTGGCTAGAACGAGACATATTCCGACTGGTCTGGGTAAGACAGCTGTGAATATGTAATCAGCGATACTCGCAATATATTTTAAACTATCCGCACGTTTTGAGGTGGTTTCAGACATACATAGTGGTAGAGAAAGAAAGGTTGGAGATGAGGCTGAGCCATGGTGGGCGAAGCCAGTGTTTGCTAAATAAATTGCAGAAATGTCTGTCCCAGATAGCTTACTAGATATCAGTACCTGATTGATTGCAAGAAGACAAAAGGGTCATGATAAGAACGGTTTTGATGCCAATTTCTCGCAGCGATTGTGTCGCTAAACACGATTCACAACGTCTTTCCCCGTTTCTGGTGGCTATATCTCACCATACAGCTGACCATGTAGCTAAATGTTAGTATCTTTTCATATTCCTGTTTCCGCATTGTCAAAGTTCCCTATCTTGATCTCTGTAGAACCCCACCTTATGCGTTATGAGAGACCCAAGATAACCAACACGCTGTTGGACGGCCTTCATTTGCTCGCAAATACCTTCCTATATCAAATTGTGCATAAATCCACTTTCAGCACCCTTGCTCCGTTGCCAATTGACTAGGTCCTAGATCCTATCAGGCAGCTCTTCAATTGCCCGCGGAGGCCCTAACAAAGTTCCCACAAATGCTTTGCTCGCTTAATATGTCTTATCTACACTTACTTATAGATGCGTGACCATTAGTCCAAAGACCGGCCATTCCGAGCCTCACCGGTTTCGGAGAAGCATTCTCCACATCGAGCTACGTGGTGCGACCAAGTGGTGAATGGTGTTTGCATGCTCGAACATTCGTTTATAGGTTCATTAATCTCTGCATCATCAGCAGGTGAGCCGCAGTGACTGGGCGCACAGTACCTAGGATATAGAGTAACCAGCCATCACACCTTATTCAGATGTTTAGTTAATGAGACTGTAGACTCTGCACTCTGCTAGAGACAATGTGTAAAGGAAGCTTGAAGAAATTCGTGAAAGAAGTGTCTTTGGTACGCCTTCAGTCAAGCCTACGTCGGATGGACATAGGTGGTTGTCTTGGCAGCGTGGCAGGGCACCTCGCAATAACAATGACCATTCAGGTGATCGAATGACAGATGATGAAAACGACAATCGAATAGGCTGTTTTAAATTATGATTTATTTTATCATGGCAACACCAAGTCAACTAATTATGTTAAAGGATGCCTCCAACAAAATTTCGCTTTATATTCAGAGGCAATCCGAGGCAGTATTATCTCTACCATTTTATCCTCTCGCTAGCTAAATAAACATCGGTACTATCTATTGTGTACTCGTAAAACTAACCTCTAGCTGGAATTTGAATTATCAGCACATGACCAAACAGAAGAGCCCCCCTCTGCATGGAAGGAATCAATGATGCCGACTATAGTGCTGTAGGTACCACCAATCATTAAGAATGTACCCGCTGTAATGACGAAGACGCTCCAAGCAACACCGAGATACCAGCGCGCGGTAGGCTTCTCCCTACCACTGCGCCAGTTGTCATAGAGCCACATGCACCCCATGGGCTGAAAAGAGAGCAGTGTACCGAAGAGTGCACCGCAGAGCGATACAAGGCCGTTGAAGACGGGGATCGCACTGGCCAGAATATAGGCAATCAGGCTGACGCAAAAGGTGCAACCAATCCAGGAAATCCAATGTGTGACAGTGTTTGACGTGAGATGCCTCGAGCCGCGCAAGACACGGACAAAGACGTACTTGCTCGAGACGTGAGCCAGAATACAACCACTTGCCAGCAGTCCAGGAAAGGCGATGCCGTAGGCAATCTTTTTTATGAGAGGCCCAGCAGTACCCAACGCTGGAGAAGCGACCTGAGAGCCACAGTAGTAGTAGATGACGATGGCAACAATAATGAAGGCCACTGTAACGACTGTCTGGCACAGCGCCAAAGCCCTCGTGTACTTGCTCGGATCACGCATCTCGGCCACGATGGGGAAAAACGCACCAGTGCCGGCGTAGGCAAAGATGAGTGTAGCCACAGCCGACATGGCTTCCGTAAAGCTGGGGTTACCGAAAAGTTTGTAATCGGATTCCCAAACAACGCCCTGCGGAACATTTGGGGGGCCTCCCTTGACACCGACGGCAATCGTGACCATGAAGACTGCGAAACCGTTATCAGAAGGTGGCTACGCAGTATGTGGCGTTCGTTTTGACTCACCAGCAGTCAAGATACCAGCCAAGCCTACCCAGGCAACCCATGTTATACGGCCGAGCGTGCGAATGCTGCTTAGGAGGAAGATCATGACGAAGGCGACGCCGACAAAGGTGGCTGTGCAGGTGCCGTGGCTGGATAGAGCGTTGAGGGAAATGGATAAGCTCAGCATTGCTGAACCGGCCGTCAGAACGTATTCTATAAGAAGCATAATTTCGTTAGTGAGTAATTAAGGGATTCTCCAACCACTATTCAGCAGATTCTCAGCAGACTTACGACCCATGAAAGCAATGGCGAAGGCTTCCTTGCCAATGCGGCCAAACATGAGCTGGCCAGCATCGTCGACACCATAGACTTGAGGGTGGTTGAGCTTGAAGACACCGACGATATAGTCGGACCAGGTGGTAATGGTCGCAATGGTCAACAAGAGGATAATGCCAGGAATCATGCCAAGGGTGTCGAAGACGGATGGGAACGACAATATTCCCAGACCCAGCTGCGTCTTCATCATCAACCCGGCGGTGCCCAGCCAACCAACCTGCAGGCTTCATTAGCAAATAGGAGGAGAGCCTCATAATAGAGATGCACCCACGCTGCGGTAGTTGGGTCCATTTTCGGACAGCTCGCCAAACACTGCGTCCTGTTCTGTCACAGGTACTGTCGCGATATCCTCATGGTGATGGGGGACTGGATCTTTCATCTTTTCGGAATCATTTGTTGCCTCAATGTCTGAAATAACCATATTGAAAACTAGATTGAGAACAGAACTGTTCTTGAACGTCTCTTTTCACCAGAACAGAGGTGGATATTGAGCAACGAGAGAAGAGAAAAACGAAACTATGGAGCGATCCATGACTTCTTATACAGGTTAGTGTAAAAGGGTGCTTGCTTTGTTGTGCGAGGCCCCTATCATATATTATTGGCTATAAGATACTTTGACTTGATGCAACAAGTTCATGGCTGGTAGAATCCCGATAACACTTACTACCCCGACCTTCCCCAGGCCCAGGTAGATTGTGGGGGAGTAGTTCTCCGTATCTCCCCCACAATCTACTCGGACGCGAATACCTTCTGTTTCCAGGAAGCTGTGGTTAGCGTGGAACGCCACGGGCCACGTCCCCACACCCCAGGTTTCCCGGACCCCGGGGCTAGTGTCACTCAGTTGACTCCAACGCGGAGAAAAGGCCGAGGGTCTCCGGTCGGAGTCCCGGAATGGAGACCGCCACGTGACCCCATTTCAGTCAAGGGCGGGATAGAGCCAATCAGGACCTTGGAACATAAGACTTTGGTGGGCCCATAACGAGATTCAAGTTACATCTGTTTGTTGGAGATTCTGGGGATGCGAGAGGTACCTGCAATCTCGGTCAGTACATAGTGGCACATTTCAGTCTCGGAAGCCCTACTGAGTCTTCTTCCTCTTCTGTGGCAGGGTGACGCTATTCCCAGATATCTGGTTAGGGCTCTTGAGACATGCTTAGTTCTATATGCAACAGCGAATGAGCACTCTCCCATTCATTCATCTGTTGCCATGGAATTTGGGCCCGCTTAGAACACTGAACAGCCAGAGACTCATTGGGCAGAAACCGGCGTACTCCTTGTGTACCAGAGGTACTGAGGGGTAACTGCGGACACGGACAAGGGGCTTCCATGGTGGCGACAATGGGCCATGTCACTGTCTATGGAATGATTAGTGATCGAGTTTGACTCTGGATTTGGAGACTAGGGCTTCAATAATGCTGGTTGTGCGGTATCAGCCAGAGAGTTGACAGGGCTCCATGACTCGCATCCAATATAGTATAATCATTTGCAAAGGAAACTTCACGTATTACGTGCCAACAATGCTAAACAGCGCGTGTGTTCCTCAGCGAAACGAAGTCCGCTGAACTTGCGAGATTGTGAGGGACTATGGAGGAAGCTTGAGCCCTTAATCAGCCATTCAGTACGAGGCATGTTCGTGTCAAAGTCAAAGGCTGAAATCCTCAAAGTAAAAATGCAAAGCATTCCAGATTGCTTCCTTGGAATTATCTTGAAAGAGACAGCCATGTTGGAATAATCAATAGATTGCATCAGGAATGCCCTTCTTGCAGGATCGTAACATGTTTGGCCGGTCTCAAGAGTCTTTTGTGTAACTGCACTCAATAACAGTTAATTCTACTCATACACATGTGAGTTCCCCGATAGTCAAACCGAAATTGTCACTTCACTATGGCCCTTGAGCTTGTGCAAGATGGTAAATAAGAGCATCACACTAAAGAACCAGGTAAGTCAAAACTGTTTATTGTGGTCGCTATTAAATTTGGAATCCTTCCGGAAAAGGGTCATCTGGATCAACATAAATCTTCTTCTCTCCCGTAATCCAGGCTCGACCCTTAATGTTGGGTATAATGGCATCATATGTGCCAATCTTTTGCGTCGACTTGATCTTGCCCATAAACTCCGTGTTGATCACGCTCTTGAACGTGACCTCATCGCCCTCCTTGATGAGTTTTCTCGCGTGGAGGATCGCGAGACGTGACGAGCTGCCCGTGCCACACGGACTTCGGTCCAATCGACCTGGCGTGACAATAACTGTGTGCTTGACCGAGATGGCACCTGTCGGCGAGGTAGTGAGTGGTTCTGTAATGACAACGTTGTTGATGCCTCGAATGGCAGGGTTCTCGGGATGCGTGGGCATGACTGTGTCCAGTACAGTCTTTTTAATGAGGTTTCCAAGCTCAATCAATCGGGCGCCAAACGCCGGGGTGACCTCGACACCCAAAGCATCCGCCGCGATTACGACGTACCACTGGCCGCCGTAAGCAATGTCCACTGCTACGGTGCCGATGTCAGGCAGATTGATGTTCAGGTCCAGGGCATAGACAAACGCAGGCACATTGTCGAACGACACAGCGTTGCACGAGCCGTCTTTGCAATCTGCCGTGACTGTGATGAGACCAGCAGCCGTGTCCAACTTGAGCACAGTCTGCGGTTCGGTCATGGGCAGGATGCCCGTCTCGAGCAGCACAGTAGCAGTGCAAATTGTATTGGACCCAGACATAGGCACCCAATCGCCTGGTGCCGAGATGAGGAACCCAATATCCGCGCGCGGGTCGCAAGGCGCGGTCAGGAACATGGTGCTCATCTCTTGGCGGCCTCTGGGCTCGTTATGGATCAGTCTGCGGAGGCCGTCATTCTTGCCGATGAATTTGAGGAGCTTCTCATGCATTGTTGAGGCAGCAATATCTGGTACGCCGCCGATAATGACATCGCCAGACTCGCCCTCGGCGTGGCAAGTGACGATGGACAGAGTCCGTTTTGACTTCATCGTGTTAGAATGAGGGCTTACCGAGGCCGATCAAAAGTTGTGCGAGAAACCGAGAAAATTTGCAGCACGCTCTCTACCAGAATCTCCATTTCAGGCACGGGTTAAGAAGTCTTATAAGTCGGGTTCCCACGCCATCTTGTTCCCTTATTTGGAGTCCGCGGTTGATGGCGGAGGTTCTAGGGCGGGGTACTTGGGATGAGGGGGACCCTTGCAGGCCCGGGATGGCCTTCCAAAAGAGCTGCAAGCTACTCTGTGCAATTTGGTGTGCTAATTCACCTGGGGTATGGGTAGCCGATGCTAGTGGGGTTTGTTTGGATTCAGTCTCGGAAGAGTTGGTGCCGTCTGGTCTAGAAGCTGTGCTCTAGCTATCTGGAAACCCAACATTTCAAGATAATCTTATTTGTGCCTTGGGAAAGACGATGGAGATGTGATTTGATGAGTTACGCAGTATCACTGCAGAATTGTGCTTTTCTTCTTCTCTTCTATCTTCATTATTTAAGGGATTGCCTTTGTTCATATCGCGAGTCAATGATGCAATATGTGCAGATCACATGTTAAGGGATTGAACAAGATCGTCATAAAGAATTAGAGTCTCCCCGCATATTGAATCTCACGATGAAATGGATATTCTTCAAAAAGTCATTGAGATCGGTTTTTTTCTTTTAAATAATATTAAATTCAACCAGCTATTTCTTAATGGTTTGAACGCCAGCCGATTGCAAATGCACGACAAACTCGGCCTGCAGCTGATCGTTCAGCAAGGCAAATGGTTTCCTCAGACCACCCGTTGACCATCCGCGCAGCTCCATTCCCGTCTTGACGGCCGCGCAGTAGTTAGTTGACTCGAGGAACTTACAAATAGGGAAGATCTTGGCCCAAATTTCGCGTCCCTTTTTCAGGTCATTGTTGACTGCCAACGCGTTCCACAACTCGACGCTGAGCTCGGGAATGATGTTGGTGGCGCCCCAGATGGAACCCTTGGCACCGGCAGCTAGACCGTAAAAGGTCAAAGTATCCCAGCCATTAAATGTGGTTATCTCGTCGCCGAGTTGGAAGAGCAGTTCGGTCAGTGCGGGTCCGTTTCCTGAAGTATCCTTGAGGTACTTGACACCGACGGACTTGAGGCCGGCAAGCTGTGTGGGCGAGAGTGTGACACCGCTCGCGCCGGGGATGTTGTAGTACATGATATCGACGCCGGAGGCTGTGTGAATGTCGTTCATGTATGTCTTGATCTCCTCGTAGTTGAGCGCATCGTAGAATGGGGGGACGACCATCAGCGCGGCGACCTTTAGGCCGGCGGCATGCTTGGCGAGATCGATCGTGTCGACTGTGCTCAAAGTTCCAACACCAGCAACGACGGGAACGCGACCGGCGGCACTCTTGACCACCTGCTCGAGGACGGCTTTGCGCTCGTCCTGGGAGAGAACGGTGAATTCGCCAGTGCTACCGCCGGGAACGAGACCGTGAACACCGGCATCGATGAGGCGGTTGACGTGTTGGTCGAGACCTTTGTAATCGACAGAGCCGTCAGCTTGAAATGGAGTAATGATTGCGACTTGAATGCCGCTGAGTTCTTGTGAGGGAGCCATCTCGAGACTTGGTGTGTGTGTGTGTGTGTGTGTGTATAATTGAAGAGTCAAGATAAGGATAAAAAGGTAGAGTGGCACAAGTATGAGAGAAGATGGATTGAGGAATTAAGCTGGAATTTACATTCAAAAATAAGGGGACCGCTATGAACTTAGTATTATCTTTATTATTCCCCAAAAGATGGGAATGACTGAATATGCCCCTCCTATTTCTCAAGATTTATCAAAGCTGCAGACTATGACATTTCTCCAACCAATGAGAATGCGAAGTCGGGAATGCCTTCACTTCTGGTTTCTCAGGGACCCCAAAGTACGTACTTCGGTAAGACCCACTTGTCAAACTTGGGGGAAGTGGGTCGGTATAACGCACTAGCATTGCGGGGTAAAGCGGGGGTAGATTGGGGGACCTGACGAGCTTATCGCAGATAAGCGATGAAAGGGGCAGGCTTCACCGAGGAGGATGGCTGGGGGAGCTGAAGGCCATGGTTTTGATGAGAGAGGATGGGCCGATTTTCGGACATATGGAACGGTTTCGATTGCAAAAAAGAAAAAGGGGGACAATGTATCAGTTCAGCCAAGTAGGTCTCCGAATACGCGTTCTTTGTTTTGCCTTGGAGGATCGGGGAAGACTTCCAAAAGGTATGCTTCCTTTCTACAATAGCAATCCAAAATCCTATTTCTATTAATCTACATAGAGCTTATGTATTAGTATTAAGTAGTTAGCCTTCAAAGCTCATGACCTGTAGTTGAGAGTCTCTGTGTCTATTACTTTCTTTATTCTTGTCGAAATCATCGTGCCTTTTCGAGATCACCTCAGAGATGACTGTAAACATTGTAGTACTAGGGTATGTTTGAATAACAACTATAGGAATACGCATAAACTTTTGCGACTAACATTATTCCAGCGCCGGCGTGTCGGGTCTGACGTCGACTCTCCAGCTCGCTAAGGACTCGCGCAATTCAATCACTGTGATTGCAAAGCATATGCCTGGCGATTATAGTATTGACTATGCATCACCTTGGGCAGGGGCAAATTTCCAGCCGTAAGCCGAGCATTTGATGCCAGTCTGAGAGCAACACAGGACTAATCGTTCCTCCAACAGATTCTCGCCAGAAACCGATTGTCGATGGGAGGAGCGGTCATGGCCAGAAATGTCCCGCCTAGCAGCCAACGTTCCCGAAGCTGGTATCCATTACCAAAGTAAGGTCCCTCTTTTACCTGCGCTCAGCTAGGACTTCATGATTAGTTACTGACTGACTTGGTGACAGAAAGCCACATTTACCGTCGCCAGAAAGACGTCGAGAGCGGTGCCACCTCGTTCGATTCCATGTTTATCCAAAATCCCTGGTACAGACGCCTATTTCCCGACTTTCACGAGCTTGAGAAGCACGAGCTACCGGACGGCGTGACTTCGGGTTGTGAGTTCACGGGCATCTGCATAAACACGGCCATCTACCTTCCATGGCTCGTTGGCCAGTGTCGCAAGTTGGGTGTGGTCTTCCGACGGGGCACTGTGAACCACATTAGCGATTTGAAGAATATGCACCACTCGGGTAAAAAAGCCGACATCATCGTCAACACGTCTGGCCTGGGAGCTCTAAAGCTTGGCGGTGTGGAGGACACTGACATGATGCCCATTCGAGGGCAGATTGTCCTCGTTGAGAACGAGTCACCCTCCATGTACAACGTTTCCGGCACGGACGATGGTGCCGAAGAGATTTCCTATGTCATGACGCGTGCCGCCGGTGGCGGTACTGTTCTTGGCGGGACATACCAAAAGGGCAATTGGGATCCCAATCCTGATCCAGCCATCGCGGAGCGCATCATTCAGAGAGCAGTCAAGCTTCGTCCTGATATGGTGGGCGGGAAAGGAAGGGACGCAATCAAGGTCATAAGGTCCAGTGTTGGGTTGCGGCCGTATAGAAAGTCGGGTGTCAGAGTCGAGGCGGAACTGACGAGACTTAGCGGTGATGATACACTGCTTGTCCACAACTACGGCCATGCTGGATGGGGATATCAAGGTTCATATGGCTGTGCAGAGCATGTCAAGGACCTGGTGACTAAATACGTGCAGGAAAGAATTGCACCTGTGGAGATCCGGTCTAAACTATAATTATCTTTCCTCACTTTACCTAGTTGTCAACTAACGCGGGCTACCTAGTCGACATGAATATTTATTTATTTACGTGGGGGAAATATACACATTAGAACAACAGCGCGATCATTTCTTGCCATCTGATATTGATCGGTCTGGATTATGACGCTTCTACATGCTGCATCATATGATCCAGCCAGCTATACGACATATCCCCTGAACATGCCCTACGCTTCCATACAGCCTTTGCAATCACACTAGGCTTGTCCGTTTCAATAAACACACCCGAGCCATCCATGGCCTCCAGATACTCTAATCCTCTCTTCTGTAAGTCAGGTGAAACTGCCTCGCACGCGGCAATAAAACATGACCAACCGATGGTGACCGCAAAGTCCTGATCAAATACCCTGGTGCCCACACACGGCTCCAGAAAGTCGAGCGTCTTGCGCACCTGTTCCTGGACAATCATTGCGTTCATATTATAGACCCGTCGATAGAAAAATATCATAATGGCTTGGTGCACCGCAAGGACCATAGACCGCGCGTCGCGATTGTCGAGAGCTGGTGTATCTGCTGTGACGAGAGACTGAGGTCGGCCTGGCCCGACAGGCAGCTCGATGGGTGAAGGCGTCCAAGACCAGATCTGCTGCTCCAGAGTGCGTGTATGATGCGATAGAGCGACAGATACGCTCGGACTGGTAAGCGCGGCGGCCTCTAATGCCGGCTTTTCAGTGGCGAGGCTGATGGTTTGAGACAAGAGTGTCATGAGCGATTCTGGCATGCTGTACATCTTGGGATACAGCGTCGGCTGCCAGTATCCAGACACCTGAAGGTGTATATCATTATATCCCACTTCCATTGTCTTTTCTTGAGTTGTATCTAGTTTGCCCAGGTTGTTTTCATCCAAACGGAAGCCAGGAAGACCAATTGCTGCATTGTACTCTGGACTCGCCGTCGGTTCGCTGGCGACGTCTGCCTGCGCAGCCTGGACTAAGGGCTTGAGTGAGGTGCTTTCCGCTATGAGACGTAAATGAGTGTACATGTGATGCAAGACTCGGTGTGTATGTGGTTTATCTGATGGAATACCTCGCAGACGAATGAGGCGCTCGGCATCTAACAAGAGCTTCTTGACCGCGCGCGGGTCATTGGCTCGTAATATCGTGAACCCGACGCTCAGCATGGCCATGAGCATCTCGGCATAATCCGTCTGATTCTCTGTCCACGACTCAGTCGCCAGCGCTGCCTTGAGCAAATTAACCGCCTCTTTTTGATGCGTGGCGGCCACATCAAGCCATTCTGTCGACAGGCTGGTTGCGCCCAAATTGGAAGACTTATGCAGATGGTATGCACTCTTGCACAGGAGAGAACTTAGTATGTTGCGTCCTGTGTACGAGCTTGTGTTCCAAAGTGACATCTCCGCAAAGGTCTGCAGTGCACGTGGCAGGAAGAGGGCTTTCCATGGCGACAGCCGATGCAATAATGTCGCAGAACCTTCGAGCACCTCCTCCTTGAGATGTCGTAGTAGATAGGACGTGTACGGCGGCAAGCTGCTGGAGCCGGTAGTTGGGTTTCGAGGAATCTCGGTGATGACTTCTACCCCTAGGCGCTTGTCTTGTTGGTATGGTTTTAGAGACATCGCTCCATGTGCTAACGACGGTTCTTGGGAAGCTGGTGTCCCAGCTCGAGGTGATAGAATAAAGTTCATATCAGGTATGTCCAATGACAGAGACATGGGCGATCCGTTGCCCAAACTTACACCCAGCTGCATCCAATCTTCAATCTCAGCAGATAGGTCTTCAGGTTCAGGGAACCCCAAATCCAAATTTGTCTCCAAGGGCATCGGCTCTGATGGCAGTTGAACTATATCCTCGTCTAGCAAGGGAAAGGTAGGGATGAAGGAATCTTCATCACGGTATTGTTTGTGGACGCCATCAGTTACTGATTGTTGTTGCTCGCCCTGATCTAGCACTAGTGATTGATGCCACGATAAAACCTGTTCGGAGCTGCTCTCGTGAAAAGCGCGAAACACACCAAAGGGGCCAATGCAGTGAAGCTCGTCGTCGTGGACAGATTCGACATCCAGATCCGTCACCAGTTGCTCAGCTGAAGCTGTCCCCAGACTTTCGACCAGTTCGACACTCATGCATGTCCGCTCCGTCTCGCTGAAAAGTGGTAACGACATAAGCTTCCTCTTGGCTCATCCGAACCACCCTGATCTGTCATCCAGACCAGGGTGGGGGCGTAACCGTGGCATGCTATTTTGAGTCGCCGGCATGTGGAACAAGACGGTCGAGCCTCATCGCATTTGATATGCCGAGTGCGACAGGTGCGACAGCCTGTAAAGGTGCGAGATCGGGTCTGCTGCTGTTCTGTCTTGCGGTATGTGGGCTTGTTGCTGTTCTGCTTGCGACCCATTATGATATCATTCGCTTGAATGAGGTGATTCAGATCACAGGAGGGCATAAAGAGACCAGAACTGTCTCTATATGACAACAGGTAAGTTACGCCGGGGAGTTGCACATTGGTTCTGTAACGGCGAGTTTAAACACTCGCATAAATACATAAGCGGCTACGAAGTAGGAAGTTTTCCGCGAGGAGGCCAGGACATCGGGAACTATGGGTCCAGATGGAGTGATGAGCCAATTAGAATTTGCATAGCTCGGCTATAAATTATTATATGCCGTCGAGGTATTATCGCGCTAGACGGTGTCTTAGGGTTACTTAGGGTTAGGGTTAGGGTTAGGGTTAGGGTTAGGGTTA